TGATCTCCTCCTGAAGTGACGACGAAACAGAACAGCAATGCCGATTACGTAGTCCCAGCAATAGAACACGTGGCAGCAGCCACATCAGCGATAGCGCATGGCAGCTGCCACGTCAGCATGCCAAGAAGACAGGAGCAAGCCCGCCACCATGCCGGACTAGCAGCGCCTCGCCAAGTCACAATGCCACCGTTGCAGCGTCGAGCCAGCGTTGAAGTCAAGGCGTGAAGTCAGCATCAACGCAAGACAGAATGAATGTCAAAGCCAGGAAGTCAGTTCTTATGGACTGTTGACGCAGGGTCTGGACCCCGGATGCTGTATCCCTCGGCTGTCCAGATCTCGATGCAAATGAGGGCCCAGATTGGCCTGAAACCGAATTCCCTCCGGCCTGGATGCTGTCTTGGTACCTACGCACAACAAGTGAGTGTATCCAACCAAGGGCCTGGGTGCGGTACCTTTGATTCTACAGTTGACTTTGACTCTTGAATTTCCTGTGTGCAGCGTTCGGTCACACAGCCACGCTCGACAGACTCAGGCCTGGGCGTGTCTTGGTCACACAGCCCAGCACTCAGGTCTGCGTGGCCTGGGGCTGAGTTCAGGGCCCCAGGCTACTTCTGAACAGGGTTATTACATTAGCCATGTGCAGGATATCCCCATTTCACTGGATGAAATTTAAACAGAGTTTAATAGTGAAAATTTGTCCTTCTAGGTTCAGACTCCAGAGTCTTCAGCTAGAAAACCACTCTTTTCCTTGCCTCTTCTTGCTTTCTTTCCTTTCTCTTCTGTTCCCCCCCCCCTCCTCCTCCTTTTTCCTCCCTGCACAGCTATCCTGTTCTCTTCTCCTCTTGCCTCATCTCTCTTCCTCTTCTTTTCTCATCCCTCTTACCACCAACGATGTTCAGCTAATTTATGAAGATCATCTCTTTTTTTTTCTAGCAAATGCTTGTTTTTTCGAAGCATCCTGTATTTCAGCAGATAAAGATTGATCTAAACTTATTGCAATGAACCCAGATCATGAATACGATTGTCAACAAATGCAAGTCCAGAATCTCTTGTCGCTGATAGTTCCCAATAGTCAAATAGTATCCAGAAAGAAATGAGGTGAGATAATCATACACAGACGAAGAGGAAGGAGGGAGAAAAGACAAGGGAGAGGAATTATATTGCCCACTCCTGCTTCTGGCTCCTTCCTTGATCACCACCTCATAACCAGTAATCTGAACACCTATCGAAGTCCTGTTACAATGTGCCACGTGGCACCCAATCTGTCTCTTTATCAGCGCTGGAGCAATGCCGACATGAAGATTCCAGGTACGTAGTCACAACCTCCTCACAGTCCCGATCTCCTCCTGAAGTGACGATGAAACAGCATTGATCTCTCCCTGAAGTGATGATGGAATAGAACAGCAATGCCAGTCACGCAGACCCGGCGAAGTCCTACGTGGCAGCAGCCAAGTCAATAGCAACACGTGGCAGCTGCCACGTCAGCAAGCCTTGTAGACAGTAGCCAGCCAATCAGCGCACCAGCCAGCAGCGCGTTGCCGTAATCTCGCCAATGCCAGCGACATGCCAGCGTCCGCCAACGTCGCAGCGTCAAGCCTGCGTCGCATTGTCAACGCGTAGAGGCAGCGTCAACGCAAGACAGAAAGAATGAATGTCAAAGCCAGGGAGTCCACGCTTATGTAGCGTTGACTCGGGGTCTGGACACCAGCTGCTGAAAACTCCAGCCGTACAGATCTTGACACCGGTAAGGGCCTGGATCGATCTGAAACTGTATCCTCTTCGGCCTGGATGCGTGTCTTGGTACCTGCGCACAACAAGTGGATGTATCCAACCAAGGGCCTGGCGTGGTACCTTTGACCTAACAGTAGACTTTGACTCTTGAATTTCCTGATCCTAGCACTTGGTCCCACAGCCACGTGCGGCCTTCTCAGTTCTGGGCATTTGTTGGTCACTGTTACATTTTCGACTCACACGGGTCCTATCGGACCCGACTTAGGGCCGGAGGGACACACCAGGGCCTAAAGGCCCGACCTTTGGGGTTTACAGGCCCTAAAGGCCCGACCTTTGGGGTTTACAGGCCCTAAAGGCCTGATTTTGGACTATCACCCATCGGGTAGGCCCAAACGACACTTCGTTTGGGCCTGGCGGCGCTCTTGAAGCTGCCGCCCGCCGATTGAGGCTGAACCGTCCATCTGGACGGTTCAGGGTCTGGCCTGGCCTTGCAGCATTGAGGCCAGACCATTGCCCACCGGTATAAGTACCGGTATCCGCCTTAGTAGTGGGATAGGCCTACCGGAACTCTACCGGCACGGCATGGTCAGTGCTAGTGCACTGTTTGATGCGCTAAACTTAGCGCAGGGGCTGAAGCAGGAGCGCAGCATAGCGCAGCAGCGAGCGGAGCAGCAGCGAGCGACTGAGCTTGCACGGCGGTTATTACCGCTTGAGGTATCGGGAGCTTGGAGGGTCTCTCCTCCTCTCCCTCGCCAGTCCCCTCTCTCTCTCTATCCTCTTCCTCCTTCTTCTTCTTCTTCTTCTTCTTCCTCTCCTTCTTCTTCTTCTTCTTCAAATTGGAGAATATCGAGTTGGACAGAGATCAGAGTTGGATTTCGGTGATACGAGACTGTGGTACTTACCTGATTGGAGACTTGGAGATTGTTGAGGTTGATACTCGGCCGCATCACAGTTGGACACCGGTTACATCTGGACTCTGTTATCTCCGACATTGGTGACCTTTGGTCCTCGACATTTTGATCTTGTTATATGACATTCTGGACTACCATTTCGGAGACCTATCAGACTCTATCTTTGTGACCTATCGGTGTGATCTACCTCCCACCTCCTTCGTCTCTCCTCCCACCTTTCATCTGTGTATGTGTGTACGGGATCTGGGTATCGTCTAGGAATGACCAGACCCCACCATCTCATGATTGTATGTGTGTGGAGTGATGCCATGTAAGTCAGTTGGTGTGAGTCGGTCTATGTGAGTCAGTTCGTTATCAGACTTCCGCTGCATAAATGCTCATCCTATATTGGTTGATCTTTGGTTCTGCCCATACTCATTGAAGTATGTAACAGTTTTGGTATCGGAGCAGACCAAAACGGATCTGCTCACCAGGTAAGTCCGTTTRGAATTASGTTATCATGTTTGATCTTCTAAATCGRCGCTGAAGTATTATCGTGATTCAAGTTGCAAATTTTTCTTCTTTCTCGGTATTCTGTAATTAGGCATTACCGCTTTTGATTCAGCATTCTGGATTACTCTTTCGGATTCTGTTTCAAATCGGTATGCCATGTAAATCAGGTTCCGAGAAATTCCATCCGAGATGTGTAAAATCGGATTTCTGTTTTTAAAATGAAATTAAGGGAAGCAGTAGTCTGTTAATTCGGCATTCTGATTTCCATTTCGGTTTTCCGTTTTAATTCAGCATTCTGTGAAATCTGATATTTTGTTTTCCTAAAAACGGTAGTTCCGTAATATTTCGTTATTGGAATTAGGGTTACGAAAAATTCCGGGTTTTTTTTTAAGAAGGTGGTAAATTTCGAACGTTTTGAAACCGTAATTTCGGAAATTTCGCGGAAACGCGGAAAATTAGGGTTGGGGCCGATATTTTCGCGGAAATATTTTTCGTTCATCTTCTTGGAGAAATTCCGAAAGACGGATTTAGCGTTTAAAAATCGGATTTTGACGATGGGAATTCCCGGAATTTCACGTTTTGAAATTTCGAGCGTTTTTTTCTCTACCAAAATTTCCGAAATTTGTTCTGCAAACTAATCTGTATATGACCCTTCAATTGCAACTACCGGGCAGTTCACTTATTAAACGGAGGACTCCCGGTTTCATAATAATCTCGAAAGAGACCTAGTCATATTACCATTCAAATTCGTTTTATGATTTCATTGATTAATTATCTCGTATTTTTTCATTAATTAAATTTATTGATTAAATCGTTAATTATTTTATTACGAATTTTCTGAATTGGTTCCGGGAATTTATTTTCGGGTTTTGATTAGGGGTCTATAGTCCAACAAGTGGGACAGGGGATTGTAGGTGTATTGCTTGATTGTTCTACCCCTGTTCCCACTCTCCCTACCCCCCATGTTCTGTGATTACCGGGACTTCTCAAGTACCGCATGATGTCGACGGAACAGGACACCGGGGCACTGCCACGACGCAGTGCCAGAATCGCAGTTCGTGCCCGCCCTGCAGTACCTCCAAGACCGACGAAACTCAGCAGGTGGACGACTCCAGCAGCATCAAGTACTGCATTGACGGTACAAGACGCCACCGGAGATCATCCCGCATACCCAGTCCGAGGAGCCAATGAGCCAGCGGCTGATTATCGTGGGCGGCTACTGGCATTTACGGAAGCCGTAGCTGCCGTTGAGGCCCGGAAGGAGACAGCAGAGGCAGAACGTCAGCGGCTAGCCAATGAAGCGGCAGCCGAAGCTCAGCGAACGAGTGAGACTGAGGCAGAGACACGAGACAGACGGAATGCCAGCAGCACGGAGTCCTTAATTGCTTGTGAGCATCAGTGGACGACGATACTCCAAGGCATGATCTTTGTGCTTACGGAAGCGCAGGCAGACCCGACACCGGCGGAGGCAGAGAGAAGTAACCTGGCTAACTTGCTGTTGGGCATGATGAGAGGTATTATGTGGAATAATACACTGCTGCATTCACATCTGCGCACGGACGCGACGCAGCGACAAACATACAAGAACGATATGACTGCGTTAATCCGCACAGAGGCAACGCAGCAGCAGCAACAACATCATCTGTTGAATTCCACTATCACACGCGTCAACAGCATAGAGGCTAACGCCTCAGCAGTGCCAGGCTGCACGACAGACGTGATGAAGCAACTCAACGAGCGCATCGATCACGTCGTCACCATCATCGGCGACATAAGTACTTTCAACGGA